AGGAATATTATAAAAAAGAGCGAAATCAGTTCAGCTGTTCTCGAGATTTGCGCTTAGCAACCCATTCAGGGATTCATTTTTATATTATAGATGTATTAGCGTCATTAAAAATAGTATTCCTTTCATGGCAAGATACGAAAAAGTGCAAGGGAGATAGATGTTAATCCATCTCGCTTCCTTATAACCCCCAAGCTTTTGACGGAAAACTCTAACACTTTTTTAACTAATAGATATAAGACAATGTATATAAATTTTCCACTTAGTTTCATATTTTATGTTAACATTTTTTTTATAGGAGAAGGGGCAAACGAGCATGCGGCTCACCTGATGGTAATTGACTACCGCCGCCCATGAACAACTGCAACACCAGGGGAATTACAGATGCGTTGCCAGCCTTTTAAAAAGGAGTGGGCTCTTTTCTTGAAGGTCCCTAAGTCGTATCAGTCCGGAAAAATCGCTGGTGGTAATGGATGCCACAAGGAAGTTGTGCGAGAGAGAAAACTTCTTCCAAATCGCATAGTGGTGGACCGCCAATCATCCAGATGGTATAGATGGTATCGCGAATTTTGTCGCGATGTGCGATGGTGAAATTGAGCAGCTGAAATTAGTCCGAACAATTCCTCAGAGCACTCCCCGTGATAGATGCGATAAAATACGCAAAGAGGTGCAACATCTCTACGCAGTGCCAGTGAGTCAAGCCGATCGGAAAGAACTCGATCGTCGACGATTCGAACCACTCTGCGCAGGATGTCAAGTGGAAGGAGCTGGCACTGGGGAGCCCTTGCCCAGAGATGGGAACAGTATTCCATGTGAGGTCGAAGTTGCGCCTTGTAAAGTTGCAAGCTTAGTGCCAGCATTAAATACTGTCCCGCTCTGCTGAGCACGCCAAGCTTTTTAGAGGCCAATTTGGCCTTCTCTTCCAAGTGACCACGAAACAGCACGTCACTCGATATGTCGACACCGAGGATTCCGATACTGGCTGAGGCAACAAGTAACTCCCCTTGTTGCCTCAGCTAGCTCAGGCAGCAAGGGGAGTGCCTTGAAACTGAGGAGATACGACAAAGGGGTTCTTTTAAGCGGTAAACGCGCAAACTTGTGTCTTCTGGGGATTGAACTGGACTAGATTTAGTCGACCCCAGTCTGAGACTTTGTTCAACAAAATTTCGACTTCAGACACAAGTTTGTTCCGGTTCCGCGACTTTTTCCCGAGAAATATTGGCCCTATGATGTAGCTCAAGGTCGCTCAGCAAACTATGAAAAGGGCTATGATCGGGGTTTCTCTGCGTGATAAACTTAGAAATGAGGATATGCGCAGTAGAACCAGAGTGACCTACATAGCCCAACGGATTACTAAGCTGAAGTGGCAATGGACCGGTCATATAGCTCGAAGAACCGACAACCGATGGGGAAGTAAGGTTCTCAATAAGTTTAGCTTCTTCAAATAAAATATCCTAATAGTTGACTAGGTCATGGACACTCTAGTTTGTATGAAATAGTTTATGCCGCCTGTAGTGCAACTGTTTAAGCGTGTCTAATTTGAGATTAACATTAATATCTCATAATTTTTGAAACCCAAACAGAAGATAAACAGCAGCATCTTCCTGATAATACATATTTCTGATATTGTTAATAGACAGGTAAAGTATTATATTGTAACTGTCTGCAAGAAGCGTAAGTGAAAGTATCCAACGTATGGAGTGTTGGATACTCCTCGAGTCTAAGCGCTGTGGTATCTGCAACACACAACGGGAAACAAATCAATGAAAAAAAATTAAATACTACAGACTCCTCGCTCGATATACAACTCTAGCGTTGGAAATTTCTTCTAGAATATTCCATTTTATGTGTAATTAAAGTGTCAATTACAATTCCTTATTTTCCTCTGAACAAACAGAAAAACTGCCCACCTAGTATGCAAGCTGGTGTGATTGTGTGTCAATGATTTGTATATACAAATATTCCAACATACAATCCATTACATCACCCCATATCGTCCCGTGGCTGTCCTATAAAGCGCCTATGGAAAATGCTATAAATATCACACAGCCTCCGATAGATAGCAGCATAACTCTCTTATATATCATCATCATCGTCATCATCATTACAATCCTTCACAACTTTACTTCTGGACATATGCGTCCCCCACTTGCATCCATCAACTTCCTGGATGTCTTACCGGGTCATCACTCCATGTAGTGGGAAGCCGTTCTACTACGACAGTACTGATTTGGTTAGTCCAACTTCGATCAAGAGGTCAACCGACGTATTCAACTTGGCTGGGCAGCATTCGGGAGATTACGCTACATCTTCTCGTCACGTATACCGCGAAATCTTAAACAAGAGTGTGCAAACAAATGCGCGTTGTCAGTGATGACATACTCAGAGGGAGTCATCACAGCTGGCCGCATGGGGAAGTTCAAGGTCGCCCAGCGGTCTTTCGAAAGGACTATGCTCTGAGTTTGTATGCGCAATAGAATCAGTAACGATGATATCCAAAGCGGAATTATAGTTAAAAAAAACTAGCTGCTCACGATGTGGACCGAACCCATAATCCGTACAAGTATAGTTATCCTGTTTTTAGCCACAATTTAATTTTAAATATTTATGTCGTGTTCAATGCCCCCAATGCTGGGCGCATTGGGGGCATGTACCAGTACCTAAGCTGCTATGGTAATAGGCCGACAATGTAGCTCGATGAACCAACAACCGCTGGGTAAAAAAGGTTCTAGATCTAGAATAACAGCCTTATGCCGGCAAGAGGAGTGTATGATGGCCACACTCACTAATTCTCTTATATACAGATATAATTTTTACCGCGTGATAACTATCTCATATATACTTATACCATACATAAAATGCTTAAATGACGACGATGTCAAAATTGGTACCATACGTATCCCAATTCTGAAACTGTTTGAAAGTATTTTGTCGCCTTTAAAGTGTGATGATCTTATTAGGACTTATCCTCCTTATCTACTGTAGAATATGCAATATCCAGCACCGGTTGATAAAGAAAAAATTAAAAAGTCGACTTTGAAAAGAGTAATCAGAGCTAGAAGCAGGTTTAGGCTAAACGCAAATCCATCAGCTTCATAAATTTGTAAAGGCATGTGGTACGTCAACATAAAATTGCATTATTTGTCAAAATGCAGGCAGTTTTCAACAAATCTCAGGCGGCAGATTTTTGAAAGAGTAAAAATCAGCACCCAACCTTATCTTATAAATAATACCAGTAATATTCACAAAAATTCTGAAAATTAGCTGAAGTGAATACTTTTGATTAAAATATTATATACTAATGCACTCATGGACAAATTTAAAAGAACCCAAAAATAAAATAACTTTTCCTGTTATTGTCGTGCGTACTGGCCACAAACATTAGTCAATGCTATTAATATAAGTTAAATTTAAAATTAAAAAAACAATCCCGAAACAAAAAGAGCTGATGATCTTCAAACGGCTGAACAGATTTTATTGAAACATAGCTAAGAACACTCGATTAAGACACCTTTCAAATGAAAAAATCTTATCAAAATCGATACATCCGTTCTGGAGCTATGATGCCACAGACATACTAATGCCACAGACAGACAGCCAGATTTATTTATTTATCTTAACAACATAAGTAACATTATAACACAGGTAACTGTTGTGATACACACTACAAACGTATAACACTTCTCTGTTTTCGTCGGGGGTTAAAAAGAAATCTTTGTAATATTTTTTTCTAATTTCATTTTTTTATTTAATTATTGCGTAATAACAAGTTCTTACATTGTGCGAAAGATTTTGCCAACTTTGGTATTTGAGTTTATATTTGTTTAAATTTTTGCCCTGACTGCCTTGTTTATCATGTTAAGTATGAATGGGTACTGCAAATAAACACAGAATGCCCGATTTAAACGCCACTCAAGTTTCTAGGGCTGTTATTTTAGTTTAAACTGTGTTTTTTTTTCGTGGTAGAGACATACTACAGCTATATTAGTAGTATACTTGTAGCACCAATGGGTCGGCTCGGCCGGGGAAGGACCACGCTCTCACAAAATACCAGCGTAAAATAGCAGCTTAATACTGCTGTGATTCGTATGGTGAGTGTAGAGAACCGGAGACCCTTTTTACTGCAAAAGAGGCATTCCACCTTAGTCCTCACGGGTGACAACGCATCTGTATTTTGATTCTTTATTGAGGATAGATGGATGTCTATAGGTCACAGCAACCACTTACCATCAGGTAGACTGTGTGCTCGTTTGTCACCCTATCCTATAAAACAACCTTCATACATGTGGCCCAAACATTACAAGTATCAAATTCTGTGGTAGGTACACAGAGTTATTAAGAGGTATCGGCAGACCGGACAGTATACGAGACTCGCAGGACAGGGGCGTAAAAAGAAAACTGTGGCCGGAGATGACCGGTTCGTTGTTACTTGCGTGCTTAAAAACCGGACCTTAACTTCCGAGGTAAGAACGAATCTCCAAAAAGTTCGAGTGGTTACAGTAAGCACAAAAACTATGAGAAAAAGACTGAAATCAGCCGCAATTCACATTTACCTACCTACCAGAGACCCCTTCTTGTCATATTCCATCGATAATCTTAGAAGACAAGTTAAGAAGGTATTTCAATTGATGAGGAAGAAATTATAGTGGCATTTGCCTCTTTTATACGAGATGTCTTTAAGCAAGATAATGCACGGCCCCATACTACGACCGTAGTTATCAAATACCTTCGAGACGATGAAAACAATACTATGTGGGATGGCCAGCGCGCTTGGCCGACTTAAACCCCATAGAGCATGTAGACCAATTAAGAAAAGAAATCCTGTCCACGCCCCTAATTAGAGAGATCATAAAAACGCGTTACAGGAAAAATGGAACGCAATCTCTCAAGTTTTTATTGTTAACAGAACAAGGTTAAAAATAAATAAAATTCAATATTGTAAACCACATAACAGTTTATTAAATTACGACGTAACAATACATATACCTAATAGTCTTAACACTTCATTGCAAGTTAAGCTTCGTGGTAATTAGCACCCTGACGTTCTGGTCGTACGAGGTTGCGACAGCGAGACCCAGGTGGTCTCGGTTCCATTCCCACGCGTTTATCGGCTGCGTGCTGACTACCATGCGTTGCAAACGTCTCAGTTTCCCGGGGACACCACACGCTACTCCCTGACTGTCTATTCGACATCTTTGTTCAGGGTATTCGCTAGAAAAAAAAAATCCAATCGATAATAAAATATATAGTTTGCTATTTAAGTTACAGATTGTAGATCGTCAACTAGACTAACTCCGCACATGTGAAACGACGCTTAAAATCTAGAACCGCGATAGTACCTTCTTTTTCTTTTGGCAAGGAAAGGTTATGTCTAACTTGCACCGACTAAAACCTATATTCCTCTTGCACCGCATATTGGAAGGGCTACGGGAACTCTTTCGCACACATCCACGGCCCCACCATGACTACATGGCGGCCTCTCTTCGGTAAAGGACTACTCCTCCCCTATCTCCTTCTCAGGTAAGGCGCACAAGAACACTTGGCGCGCCTTCCTCCGCGACCTTCAACCACACCTGCGCAATGGACGGCCCTTTCACCTCGTGCCAGCCATGTGGGTTCCTTTTCGTTCACCGTGGGTGACCAAGCCATTGCACGTCAAAGCATGATGACCCATTCGGTCATCCATGACACCAACTCACTAACCCGTCTGCTAAATGTGGCGATTGAGACAATTCCTCTCTGCAGTGGGTAAGGCCCATGCCCAGCGGTGAACTTTGACGGGTAGATGAAATGGAAATATATCTGAAGGTACTTACTACTTCCACAGCGATACCTGCCCGTTGCCAGCACAACTTACAAATAAGTCTCGGTTCTGTGGAACATGGCGCGCTACCCATACAGTGCCGCTTTTAGTTGAGCTATCCAACACCTATAACAAGAATAAAAAGATGTAATTGTAAATAATTAATATTCGAAAACCAGAAGTATTTGCTCGAGTAGTGACGGTGTGATCTCTCTTCCACTTGCGACATCCACGGGATAATGTATTCTCATACATTATCCCGTGGATGTCGCAAGTGGAAACAGAGGGCAGTGAAACACAAGATAGACAGAAGTATATTCCTGTTACCGTGGAAAATTATAAAAAAACTGCGGTTGCCAACTCACCTACCAAGCTTTAGATAGGTCTTAGGGGGAAACTATAGCATATCCCCCCTAAGAGGTAATCATTGGGGGATGCCTGTGTTCATCAGTGTATTCGATTATGAAGCAAAATGAACCGTGTAGCGACGGTGTAAGAATACCCACTCTCCCATATCGTCCCGAGGGTAGAGGTATGAGGCGAGAGGGGAAATGAAACAGGAGATGTGCAGCTGCAGCATCTTCCTGATAACAACTCAAAATAATAAAAAACTGCTCTTGCCAATCCGCTTGCAAAACGTGGCAACTATATCAAAGAAATTAATTATATTTTCTTAATATATCACATTATATAGATTACTAAAGTAAAATCCAAATATGTCATATCTATTGTTACGAGATTGGGGTTCGCGACAATTAAAAACTGCAGAGTGAATTACTATAATCGACACTTTAATTACAGAACACTAATTACAACTTAAAACCACACTAATAATAAAACAATTGTACTACTGATCACTTTAGTTAGCAATTATTTCGCTTTGAAGTATTCTCTTGTATCGCCAATTCAGTACTGCCATGCCACGTTCGCGGTCTATACCGGTCTTATATAGGACCTGAGGTAGTTTCCAGAACCTTCTACTATAGAAACTTCTAGAATGTTCGAGTACCACATATCGGTACATATCGGTCCCGATTGACTAGATGTCGATAGTTCCAGAAAGTTCTTCCATGGAAATTTCTAGAAGGTTCTTGACTCTTCTGGTTCTACTACTCGATACTAGAGGGCGCTAGTGGTATTAATTCTATTTCTTTAGTGCCTCATACTTACTTGTGCAAATCCTTTGGATGGATTTTGTGTCCTTACGTCGAACACGTGAAACTTTCCTTCGAGGGTTGTGGCGACTAATTTGTTCATTGGAATGTCCTTCCGATCAAATTCAGTGGAGCAGACCTAAAATAAATTTTCTCTTATATAAAAACTTGGTAGCACACCTTTTTTGCGCAGTGGAGTCCATCTTAGGTAGGTACGACCGTCTTTACTATTCCTGTCGCCAAATAGCAATACTTGCACGTGCTGCGTTCCGACCTGGCGGGTTTAGAGCCAGTATTACAGGCTGACGCACTTGTAGCCTTTTTTGTTTGAAGTTGGTTGTAGGTGTCCATGGACTTCACTAGCCAATTACCATTAGGTAAACTGTAAGTTCATTTTTATTTGTTTTATTCAATTTTACAAAAAATATATAAAGCAGCATTTGCGAGTTTTTCGTTACTAATATTTTTATTTGTTTATTTTCATTTTGTTGTGCAGCTGCCTTTCGTGACTTTTATGAATAAATACATTGGGTTGGAGCAACAAAACGGCATTCAGCTCAGCATGGTGATGTAGCAACGTTGTCACAGCCACAGCGCTTTTATTCTGTCGGTGTCTCACATATCTACCAATCGAGTAGCAGGTATTAGTTTTTCTATTAACGAATGTTTTATATGCTTATATATTTAATTTAAATTTTATAGAAGCAAAAATATTTCAAATATCTGGACTGGAGTTGCTTTAACGTTTTTTATTTAATTTTTGCAAAAAAACTGTTGCAAATGAGCAGATTGTTAATATTTTATTCATAACTAGCGACTCACTCTAGCTTCACCTGGGTGGGAATCTTAATAGATAAAACCTAGACTTTTTTAAATAATTATCAATGACTATTTCTTTTATAAATTGTTCGATTTCATCAAAAACATGTGCTCCAAGTTTTTCGGATAAAATATTGCCTAGATTACTCCGGGCATTGCTCCCTATCAGCTTGTGAAGTTTCATCACGATCGGTTCAGCCGTTCCGATTAGTCCGGACTGACAGACAAAGAGAAAAACAGGCAAACAGACAGACATTTTACAAACGGCAATTCATGTCTTCATCATTATCATCATTACAGCCTTTCATAAGTCCACTGATGAACATAGGCCTCCCCCAAGGAATGCCACAAAGCACGGTCCTGAGCCACCTGCATCCATCGACTTCTTGCATGTCTTACCAGGTCGTCACTCCATCTCGTGGAGGGTCGCCCTACACCTCGCCTACCGGTACGAGGCTGCCACTCAAGAACCTTTCTTCCCCATCGGTTGTCGGTTCTTCGAGCTATATGGCCGGCCCACTACCACTTCAGCTTACTAATCCGTTGGGCTATGTCGGTCACTCTGGTTCTACTGCGGATATCCTCATTTCTAAGTTTATCACGCAGAAAAACTCCGAGCATGGCCTTCTCCATAGCTCGCTGAGCGACCTTGAGCTTCCTCATACGGCCAGCAGTGAAGGACCACGTCTCAGATTCGTAAGTCATCACTGGCAACACGCACTGGTTGTATAATTTCGTTTTAAGGTTTTGAGGAATGTCTGACGAGAAGATGTGTCGTAGTTTCCCGAACGCTGCCCATTATGTCTTAATGGCTTGCAAATAAACCCCTGAGTTCGATAAAAGGCAGTTATTTCGATATTACAGACACAACACTTTAATTTTATATATACGTATAGCTAACTTTATTCAGGGTATATTGCCATAGTTACTACGCTTGGCGAGCCGGTTGCACAACCGCAGTTTTTTTATTGTTGTTTTACTGTTATCAGAAAGATGCTGCTGCCCATCTTCTGCCTCAGTTTCCCTCTGTCGCCTCTTACGACTCCCACGGAAAGATATGGGGTAGTGGGTATTCTTACCCGGCACTACACGGGGACCGTGCCTTGTGGCATTCCTTAGAGGAGGCCTATGTTCATCAGTGGAATTGTGATGGACTGTAATGATGATACGTTTAGGTAAAATATTAAAAACATACCCCATTCTTCAAATTACACTCCCACCTCAGAGACATAGTGCGAAGGTCAAACATTTTCAGGTCCCCGTTATCGTATCCGGCGACAACGATTCTCTCCGTATCGTTGTAAGAGTTACCAAAACTAACAGCCCAACAGTCTCGTTTCGTCTCACCCTTTACTGGCTGCATGTTTGCTACAGGTTTGCCCCTTTGACGTGGATCCCATACTTTGACGGTCCCTTTAAAATAATGTGGTAATAACAACAATGATTTTGTCCTCCAGACCTAATTTCGGTCACGGCTGCGAGCCTCAACGAAGACTATCCATAGGCGCAGGACAGGATTATAGTGTCCAAATGTATGCGCAAGGGCAGTTGCACACTCTATTTCCTCACTCTCATAGTCCGATGGGACGGTAAACCGGCATGACCGAAGAAAGATAAGGCGCAGGACCAACGGCTTTACGTGTTTTCCGAGGCACAGGGGTGAGAAACCGCCAACTTCCTGACTTCGAGCAGCTACTGAGAATTTAGTGACGGAAAAACTCAATAACTACATTTTTGTCCGACCCTGAATTCGATCCCAGAACCTCATGATAAACAGTCGTGTTTGCAACCACTACACTAACAAGGCAGAAAATTACATATGTCCTCAGCGCAAGTTTTCCACACTAACGGTTTTGCATTTTTATCAGATAAAATTTTATAGAAGTATGAACGGCAACACTGATGTAAATAGAACATGATACTCGTACAAAGTTACTCGATTACGATAACAATTCGATACAAAATAAAACTCACGCTCATGGATCCTATATTTTATCAGAAATATTACCTCATAACAAAAAAATTTAAAAAAATATTATAGATCAGATGTTAAGTTTTTTTAGTATTAATAAATTACTTCATAAAAATCAATTCGGTTTTTCAAGAGGTCATTCGACAACGGAGTTGAGCTTATTAAAAATATTTTTGTGCATGAGAGAATTCAGAGGATGGGTATTTCGTGGCCTTTCCAAGGACTGTGTTCACCATGAGACATTAGTCAGGGAACTACACTATCATGGTGTCAAGAACACAGCGCTTAAACTTATTATTTCATATTTAAGTAATAGAAACCAGAAAGTTATTATCAATGGTAAAATTCTTCAGGGGCACGCGTACTTATGGGTATCCCTCAGGGTTCGATTCTTGGACCATTCCTATTTCCTATAAAAATCCTTAAATTCGCAATAAAAAATACTGAGGGTCACTTATTGGGATAAAAACTATCCTATCTCTCAAGTTGGACCAAAACTGCACACAGTGTGCAAAATTTTATTGAAATAATGTCATTGGTTTAATAATTTATCGCGGACAAACAATGTGACACGTAATTTTTATATACAGGTTGTCCCAGTTATAGTGGATAATCTGGTACGTACGTGTTCGGGCGGGAGAGAGGTGGCCTCGGTTCCCCAAAAAAAAATTCTATCCCGAAGATGTCGCACTCTACGCAATGTTTTTTAAAATTCCGATAATTCGTACTTCTGCTCACATTTGTGGACATCGCGTTTGCAGTTTAATGCCTAGATCGGAGTTATTTCTTTTAATGTGTTCCCTAATAATGATGTTTCTAAATTACTCTCAAAAGTTTTCACCTACTATGGGTAGTATTTTACAAGACGGCACTAAACATAAGTTTTAATTTTTCACTTTATTTAACTGCTAAGTTTGAGCACCTGTGGTGAAAAAAAAAAAACATATGGGATCTGTGTAGCCAACCATTTACAAAGTTTTCCTACATCATGAGAATTCTAAAACAGTAGCATACTATGTACTTAATGTCATTACTTACTGAGCTATAGCCGTTAATGTGTAAAAGTAGGCATTTCATTACAAAATTATTGGCAGATAGTTTTTAAACATTGCATGTATTTATGAGGTAACTAAATCTGTCACCCCAAAGACGTATTAAAAAAGATAGACAGGTTACACACTAACATTATTGTATTTTAAAGTGGCGCAGGTAGTACTATATCTACGTACAATTATTTATTATGACACGTTGCGCTAACAAAAAGAGACAAATGATACGGCATACCTATCGTTAGAAAAAGAGGAATATACACCATTAGTTGCGTATTGATTGCCGCTGAGCGCTCATTGGCGCGAGCGCGTGACTTACCGATATGGAAATGAAAACACTCGCTAGCGTCAAAGTTTACACTAGCGGTTAGTGTCGAAATAATAAAACCAATTATGAACAAAACATCTATATTCAAAATATTAATGAGACGTTGTTCTTGTCTCTAACAGTTGCCGTGTAACTTGTGCACCACCTAAAAACACAGGAAGGCATTTTTACTACGAATAACTAGAAGATTTACGCGCTGTAGCGAAGGCGCTGTATAGCCGCGACGCGAGAGCGTGCCCGACTGAATGCGAGTCGGGCAATTACCTGACTTTCGTATTGCCATTTTAGAGCGAGTATGACGTATCTATACTTTAAAAACATCTTAGTGTCACCCCTGAAAATTTTACTTTACTACCTACTGGCCTTGTTTGGACGAATTCTAAGCTGTGTGAACGAGACAAACAGTGAAACTTGACATGTTCTATTATTTACAGATGCGTAAATTAATGAAAAGAAAATGAGTTATATCCAATTTTTTTTATTTAAAATCATTTACAGAAAATGCCTAAATGGCCTCCTCCAGCCCTTATGCAGGCTCTACAACTTTTTACAAACGATCTTAAAAGTCTTTGATAATTTTTGGTTGAAATAACCCTTGCTGCGTCTGTGACGCGAAGTCTAAGTTCGTCGATTGTTTCAATTGTTTTTTTATGAACTTGCTCTTTCAGGCAGCCCCAATAAAAAAATGTAATGGCTTAGATCAGGTGATCTTGGTGGCCACAATAACAGCCCCATTCGGCCGATCCATCGGTCACGGTGGGCTTCGTTTAAGTAACTCTTTACTTGGACGGCGTAATGTGCCGGACAACCATCATTTTGGAGCCACATTCTTCGCCGGGTGGCTAGTGGCTCATCTTCTAATAAATGGGGCAGCTTATTCTACAGAAATTCTAAATATGTAATTGGCCCCATTCAGTTTACCCGGCAATTCACAGAGGCCTATGATTCTTCCGTTTAGTATGCCTGTCCAATAATTTATTTTAAACTGGTATTGCGACCTATTTTGTCTCATCAAATATGGGTATATTCGCTGCCAACTGTGTAAATTATGCAAGTTAAGGTACCCGTCTCTTTTACACGTTGACTCGTCGCTCCACAATTTGTTTCTAAAAAACCCAGGATCTTCATCCATTCGCCTCAGCATTTCTCTGCAAAATGTAACTCATGCTGGGTAGTTACGTTGTTGAAGCGTTTGCACACGTGTAACGTGATAAGGGTGATGTCTCAATTTTTTAAGAATCCGATGTGCTGTAGAGTGCGGTACTCCAGTGCGTCGTTCGATATCTCGCATCGAAAAAGACGGATCTTTTTCAACCATATCATGGACAATTTTTTCAATGTCAATGTCAGGTATCGTCCTCTGCTACTGGCACTACCAATACCAGCACCAGGCATTCTCCCCTCTGAATAAATGCCGTGCACTCTAATAAACACGCTACATTCACCGTAGATAAAATGCATGATAAGACTCTTAGGGTGTGTACATTTCTCGTGACATGTCACAGTCCTGTTATTATGCACAAAACAGAGTTCAGTAGAATGCCAAGTTGTTACAATTATCACTAAACAAACAAAAACCAATCAAAATGCACAAATCATGAGTCCAATAGAATGCCGAGTTGTCACAATTATCACCAAACAAACAAAATCCAATCAAAATGCACAAGTCAAGAGACCAGCAGAATGCGAAATAGTATTTTGTAGCCAAGAGTCTGAAATAATAGAGCACATGCGATGTCGCGGTCGAGATACGCACTAACCATATTTAACAATAAGCAAACACTAATTCTAAACATGAATTCATACAATGGAGATCCTGTCGATCCTTTTTACTCACATTAATCCTAAGAACCGTTTGTCTCGCTCACACTGCTTAAAATTCGTCCAAACAAGGCGAACAGGTAGTAAAGTAAAATTTTCAAGGGCGGGTACATCTGTACTTACCTAATGTTAAAAAAAAACTATCTCCCAATAATTTTGTAATGAAATGCCTACTTTTACACATTAACGGCCATTGCTCAGTAAGTAATGACATTAAGTACATGGTATTCTACTGTTTTAGAATCCTCATGATGTAGGCAAACTTTTTAAATGGTTGTCCACACAGATCCGATACGTTTTTCTTTCACCACAGGTGCTCATTCTTAACAGTTAAATAAAGTAAAAAATTAAAACTTATATTTAGTGCCATCTCGTAAAATACTATCCATAGTAGATGAAAACTTTTGAGGGTAATTTAGAAACATCATTATTAGGGAACACATTAAAAGAAAAATATCGAACTAGGCATAAAACTGCAGACGTGATGTCCAGAAATGATTTTTGGTATTTTATAAAACATGGCGTAGAGCGAGAACCATTCGGGATAGAATTTTTTTTAGGGAACCGAGGCCACCTTCCCCCCTGCCCGAACACGTACGTACCAGATTATCCAATATTACTGGGACAGCCTGTATAAAAATATATACTTCTGTAACAGGATTTTTTTTTAATTTTTCCGGTACTATGACGTAGTTGAATGCATTTTGGCATAGATATAATATACTACAGGCATATGTGATTATATGAGTTTTTTAAAATTGCATTAATATTATACGTCTAGCAACATCTACCATTTTTTTATATTGAGCATGCCTTCCGATGTGTCTTTATAAAAGGGTAAATTGTCTTGGAATCTATGAAGTCTATTTTAAAATTATTTATAATTAAAGTAAAATAGTTTTAACAAAATAATATTGAATTTCATGGCCTTCTATAAATTACGGTACATTGTTTATTTGCGATATTTGGTTCATATCATTGGCCCCGTGAAATAGGGCCATAAATCCATTCAATCATAGGCCTATTGATATAGGTACCATAAAAACATGCTAATATTTTTTTACGTTAAATAATTCCATAAACGTAGTTCTATTCACAGTGAACATGATTAAAACTACATTCATGAATGAGAGTATAAATATTTTCGCCATATAGTGGGGGCGAAAAATAAACCACTACCCCATATTGTGTCGAGAACAAATAATCCACTCACCATCAAGTGAACTGTATGCTTGTTTGTCGGGCTTATTCTATATTTAAAAAAATGCCCAGCTACTTTAAAAATCAGCAAAGCTAAAGCCACTTTCCTACACTACATCAATATACTTCTATAGCAACGACATCAACAAAATGTCCATAAATAGTAAGAAATGTCAATACTTTAGACAAATATTTTGCAAATATATGCATGAGAAGTGTGTCAATACTACATGCATTAGGCAGACACCTCCCTACTTTTACTATTTAACTATATTAATTTTAAAATTAGTAACACTTAATCATTAGATTATGGTCACTTTAAAAGTAGTAAGGAATTTCATCTTTAACCTCGTAAGGGAAAATGTAAATATGTGGAGTTCTTTGCATGAAATCTACAGTCTATGAGCTGCAGTTGGCACTTACATACTGTTTGCTTAATTGTCAGTTTAACATGATATAAATAAAGATCTCTTACCATCTCTGCTTCCAGTGACAATTTCAGGTGCACCACAACTTACAGTACTCCCCCCCATTCCATCTATAGAATTTATTATATCTGTGTGCTCTTTAGTGATATAAACTTGACAACTTTTTTCCAAATCCCTAAAATTAAATGAAAGATAAATTAGTATTATTTTATTATATTATAAAAAAATCCGAATAAACAAACAATATTGCAAATAGGAAAATTTATTTTGATAATTTAAGCATAAATACCATATTTCTAATGTCCCTTTAAAATCTCCTGTGGCTAATCTTCGCTCCACATCGTTGCTTGCACCAAAAGTAGCGCACTTAAATGAGTTAGGTCGCTCAATATCTTTTACTTTTTTTATTTCTCCTGATGTAATCTCAAATATTTCTATTGTCCCACTACCTTTCGGAAGAGATCCAATAACAACAAATTTTGCAGAGCATGGTATCCATTTACAATCAAATAAAGAATGGTTTAAATTGTGTTCAATATGAGTTATAATTTGTGGTGTGTCCTGGTTTTCCATTGTTTTTATCTACTAAAAACAAGCTTAATTCTCTTAATATTATCATAACCTAAAGTATATTGACAAAACATCAAGTTGCTATGGCAACTACAGAGTACAGAGTCTACAGAGTATTTAGCAACAAGGATTTATTTTTAACTGGCTTTACGGCTCTAGGTTCTAGCTCTTCTGAGCATATACGCAACAAGGAATTTATAATCTATAACCACCGACTACTATACTCAATCAAATCTAAGAAATACGTTTTGACAGTTGTTAGATTTATTGGTCTAGGCATGCCAACCAAAAAATCGGTACGTAGAATATTCGATTCTTTAGCAAAATCGATATCAATTCTTTAGAGTTGGTAATCATTTACAGTTTTGTTTCGATTAATACCAGAATAAATTAGAAACGGATGATTTAAGGTAAAACATAAGGTGTGCTCTCGGTCATATACCTGCGAGATGGCGCTGAAGTCATCATTTATAGTTCATTTGGGATTTTGTGTAATTGGAACATTATTAAGTCGTAGAAGTAGCTCCCGCGGTACTCGGACATTATACTTTATTGTACTAGGTCTTATCATTGCCTTGAAATCCACACAATTCGACACAGAGCCCTAAAATAACATCTGTCATTGAATATAGTGTCGTTTACACACACAGACGTGGCTGAATTCCTAGTCCCTATATTTACGAAGATTAAACACTAGATGGCGTAAATGAAACAAATATTTTTCTTTTTTCTGTATTGGTTCTATATAATATATTATGTACGATTCATCATATGTCTAGCCTTTTTTCCAACTATATCGGGGTCGGCTCCCAGCCAAACCGGATTCAGCGGAATACCAGTATTCCGCTGAATCCGGTTTGACTGGGAGCCGACAATTAAAAAAATTAAATCATTTCAAGATTCGATTAATTGAAAGTTTTTACCGATAAATCGAATATTTTTATCGATTATTCGCAAAACAATGAATTTCAATCATTCAAACACTACGGTAACATATATACATAGCAATATATCATTGAAACAACGTCAGGCAAAAAAGTTGACTATGGCAAATTTTTTATTATTCTGCTTTTTCTGTAAGATTCGAACTTGAATTAGTGATAAAGAACTATATGTCGGAGCGTCTATAAAATACCCGGTTGGAGTGAGGTGCAATGGAGGGTATATCGAGAAACTCCCACTTGTTTGTGCAGTATAAAGTTCACTGTAGGTGCCGTGCGCGAGAGTTCGCTCAAGTCATTCAACGAGTGTGGTTATTCTACTAGTGCTAAGATAGTGTCGTGGTTCTGTTCGTTGTTGTAATTCTTCTAGTGCAGGCAAGGAGGATTAGTGTTGCTGAGAGGCTGCCCTGTGTTACATTGAGATAAGTAGTGTTGCTGTTGGTTTACATATTTTGGTGTTATCATGTAATTACGTACCTCACGTTACACTGGTGTGTGATTGTGACAGAGACGTGTTACGGTGTGGTCGAACTGTAATTTCACTATACTGAATGTATAGTGCGTTACGTTGTCTTATTACTGATAATGATTAAACTGCGCAAGCAAGAGAGCAAGTTGAACATCCGCTCTCACACTTTTATTATTTTTAACAGTTAACGCTATCCTGATGTATTCCCGAGATCAAGTTCGGGATCTTCTGTTACAATTCTCAGACATCAGAAGTGGGATCTCCTGTTTGTCATTTCCGATATCAGAAGTGGGATAAAGTCCCTGTTACTGCCCACCTATAATAACCTTTGAATAGTGTGAGGGTTATAACGTTGGTGAAATACTATGACACGCCTCGCGTTTTGTTTTTGTGTTCAATTTCCTAAATCCAGTTTGTTACCGTATTTATGACACTGACGAATCATTAAAGTGTAGAGTAAAAGTTTAAAGTGAAATGTTTTAAGCCAAAAGTTAAATCTTTTTATTCGATTTATAATAGAAAGTACCCGCAAGTAATTTCATTATTTCTAAACGTACCCAAACATGATAACAAATGTCGAAAGAAATGTTGGAGGTATTCTAAATGAGTTATAGTTCGCATTCAGTGGAAGTTTAACTTGCTCAAGTTACGTTATAATTTGATACACGAGGTGTGATTTACATAGGCTAGTTATAAAATTCAAAACGTTTAAACGATGTATCGAAAAAATGTTTAACTTTAACGTGCTATGATTTAAAAACACTAAGTAGTATTTTTGTGTTCTAATGTGATGATAAGTGTTACAGTTTACTCCGAGTATTACGTAGTCGACAAAATTAGGATTTGATGTTGAGAGTTTAGTGGAAGGCGTGGTGCTGTTGCGCTCGCTTTTAAGTGGAAGTATGCTATGGGCATATGACGCTGCGGACACATTAATTACCACTGGTACCGATCACCATTTGATACGTGAGGAAAGCAAATCTATTCCTAACATTGTCTTAAAAAATATTTTGTAAGAATAAGTGTTTACATTTTTAATTGGTTGCGAAAAATGCCGGAAAACCAAAGTATAACTGATGAAAGTGAAGTAGAGCAAATTAGTTCTGACATTGAAGAGAGTATTTAAGTTTACAAGAGGATCGGACCATACCAGAGGTTGTCGTGTAGATGCAGCTCAGTATATGGTGCCCTGGAAAGATTAATGTCCTGAGAGTACTGCTGCATTTTTTTAAAAAAAAGTTCTTACTGAATCTTTTTAATGTTTTCTTTTGTGTTACAGTAGTACGTGTGATATGATTACATGTGCGCGAGCGTGAGGCGATGGTGTGCCTTGCTGGTCGGAACGGACTGCCGGGTCCAGATGAAGTATGGCCAGGCTTCGGCACACGCGTATGCTGTACGCGTGACGGGTGATTTCCCGGAGCGCGCGTATGCTATACATGACAATGCCTCTGAAGTCGTGTACTCTGTATGCGCAGAAGTCGTACTCTGTGTGCGCGGAAGTCGTATACTCTGTGTGCGCAGTAGTATTTTCTAAACATGTATCAGGCTCTGTCCTGGCAGGCGCTATCCTGGTCCACGTTTTTAACGTGGTTCACGTGGTTAACATGGGATCTCGCAAGTTCAAGAGTATGTGTGAGATACTTCGTATAGAGATGTATGCTTACTTGTGAAAGCGGAGTGTTTTATTATAGTCCACGGTATGAGAGCGTATTTCTGTTTGAGGGCCTCGTATGCGTGATGGATAAGAGGATAGGCAACTGTGTATGTTGTCCTGATAACTAACAACTTGTTTTTAACGCAGATCCCGATGACGGCAACCCCGAAGATGCCTGTGAACCCTCAGGTGCTCCTGCTGCTCCCGTTAACGCTTCGAGTGCGTGGTACGGTGCAGCGTCTCGCTGGCGCTGGTGAGATGCGACGGCTCGCTGTGCGAGTGCTGCACGCCCTGTGCTGTTGTTTTGACCACATGAGCTTGCTTCAAGGCAGCTAATTATGGTGTGAGCTGTTGTTTTAGTAGCCACGTGCGCTAGCCCCCTATACCTGCCGCAACGGCGAGCAGTGAGCGATGCGTTTTCGTCTGCTATGTGAGAAATCACAGCAGTGTGCTGATGATAACTGGTGAGTCGTACCCATTTTATTACGATTCTGGTGCCGAATGAGAGAGCCTCATCAAAGATTGTGTTGTGCCAAAATTTAGTGGCAAAAGTGTAAATAATATTGTAAATTTAACCGAAATCGGTCATGTTAGTGTGCAAAGTACCCCACAAATACCCCCATAATCATGTGAGGAAGATCCCCGATCACCAAGTTCCTCGAGAGTTAGATGTCATAGTTGATGACAGTGGTAGTGAGACCAAATTTGATTAAGAATGCTTGTATACTCATACTCAAAACTTTAGACCGCACCTCATGAGTAACATGTGGCGTTGGGTCTGTAGGAAATCGTTGGTGCGATTTCTGTCTGTGTTGGTGCATATTTGGCGGCAGATATGTAGGGAATCGTTGGTGCGATTCTGGCATATGTGGCGGCAGATGTATTGTAGCATATTTGGCGGTGGATATGTGGAGAATCGTTGGTGCGATTCTGGCATATGTGACGGCAGATATGTAAAGAATAGTTGGTGCGATTCTGGCATGTGTTGGTGTATGTTTGGCGGCAGATATGTAGGGAATCGTTGGTGCGATTCTGGCATATGTGGCGGCAGATGTGTTGTAGCATATTTGGCGGTGGATATGTGGACAATCGTTGGTGCGATTCTGGCATATGTGACGGCAGATATGTAAAGAATCGTTGGTGCGATTCTGGCCTGTGTTGGTGCACAGAGCCCTTCCTGTATTGTAGCATATGTGACGGCTGATATGTGGAGAATCGTTGGTGCGATTCTGGCATATGTGACGGCATATTGTAAAGAATCGTTGGTGCGATTCTGGTCTGTGTTGGTGCACAGATTTCAATGAAAGTTTCACGAGTTGAATATGCATTGCTTATGAATTGTAAAGAGTAACAAAATTGTTAAAATTACTGTGTTGGAACTTGTTGATCGGACCTTCCACGATAAATCATGTTGTGCAGGAAGCACTGTGTACGAAGCCTTAATAACAGGGCATTGTCAATAATGACAGTTAGCTATTGTACTTAGACTTAGGAGAAGTAAAGTACCATTTGGAATCGATCTTGTTTTGATTGGCAGGATAGCCGAGCTAGATTAATCTCTGAGTATATTTCTGTCCACAGGCACTACCGAGGACAGGTGCTGGTAAGGGATAGCCGTGTCATGGCTTGATGGCGCTATGGTGCAACAAGCAGCACCATCTAACAATTAGTTTTCCGAACTAATAATATGTACCCACTCATGTCAGGATGGATGAGCGGATGAATTGTTGTTTGTTACAGGAATGCATAAAGATACACGCCCGAGGACGGTCGTACGTCAGGATGGCCGTGTCGGAGCGTCTATAAAATACCCGGTTGGAGTGAGGTGCAATGGAGGGTATATCGAGAAACTCCCACTTGTTTGTGCAGTATAAAGTTCACTGTAGGTGCCGTGCGCGAGAGTTCGCTCAAGTCATTCAACGAGTGTGGTCATTCT